GCTGAGGCTGAGAAGCCCCAAGGTTGAAAAGTAAAAAGGCACAGTCTTGATGTTACCAAACTACACGACAGACCATTAATTTAAGTCCGTTGTTAAGTCCCAAGTTCAGCAGAGCACGACAGGCTGCTGCACAATGACACAGCTACATGCAAGGTCCAAGCATGCCAAAAGCTAGATACTATCCCCAAGGATTCTCCTTATGTACAGGAAGCAGACCACATCCCAAAGGCAGCTACTCAGCTGCTTGTGGTAGATCCCACCATGGAGTTCATTGCCAGTCTTATCATGGGGAATAGCCACCACCAGCTGCCCAGCCACTTAACCAGGCCCAGCCAAGTTGACATACAAATTTAACTACCACAGTGAGTTTGGTTTTTTTGGGTATGTACATGTTGTTGTTAGGTGCTGTCAAGTTGTTTCCGACTCATAGAGACCCCACGCACAGCAGAATGATATACCGCCTGATCTTGCACCAGCTCCATGATCCTTGCTATACTTGAGCCCATTGTTGCAGCCACTGTGTCAAACCATCTCGTTGAAGGCCTTCCCCTCTTTTGTCGACCCTCCAACTTACCAAGCATGACATCCTTCTCTAGGGAATAGTCTGTTCTGACAATATGACTAAAGTAGGTGAGATGAAGTCTGGCCATTCTCACTTCCAAGGAGTATTTTAGCTGCACTTCCTCCAGAACAGATCTTTTAGCTCTTTTAGCAGTCCATGATGCTTTCATCATTCTTCACCAGCACCACAACTCAAAAGCGTCAACTCTTCTTCAATCTTCCTTATTCATTGTCCAGCTCTCACATGCATACAAGATGATTGAAAATATATATCATGGCTTGTGTCAGGCTCACCTTAGGAGATATCCTTGCTCCTCAAGGAGATATCCTTGCTCCTCAGCACTTGAAAGAGTTCCTTCACAGCCGACCTGCCCAGTGCTACATGTTGTCTAATGTCCTGACTGCTGCTTCCATTGGCATCAATTGTAGAACCAAGCAATGTGAATTCTTTGACAACCTCAATCTTTTCTCCATTTATCGTGATGCTGCTTATTGGTCCAGTTGTGAGGATTTTTGTTTTCTTTATATTGAAATGGTACCCATACCACAAATTGTATTCTTCAGTCTTCGTCAGTAAGTGCCTCAAGTCACCCTCACTTTCAGCAAACAAAGTTGTATAGTCAGCATATCTCAGATTGTTAATGATTCTTCCTCCAATCCCGATGCCACATTTTTCTTCATACAGTCCAGCTTCTTGGATTATTTCCTCAGCATTTAGATTGAAGAAGTATGGGGAAAGGATACAAGCCTGACACACTCCCTTCTTGATTTTAAACCATACAGTGTCCCCTTGTTTTGTTCAAATGACAGCCTCCTCATCAATGTACAGGTTCCTCATGAGTACAATCAAGTATTCAGGAATTACCATCCTTCTCAATGTTATCCATAATTTGTCATGATCCACACAATCAAATGCCTTTACATAGTCAATAAAACACAAGTAAACATCTTTCTGGTGTTCTTTGCCTTCACCCAAGATCCATCTGACAGCAGCTATGATATCCCTTGTTCCACATCCTCTTCTGAATCCAACTTGCACCTCTGGAAGTTCTCTGTCAATGTACTGCTGCAACTGTTTTTTAATTATCTTCAGTAAGATCTTACTTGTGTGCAATATTAATGATATTGTTCGATAATTTCCACATTCTGTGGGATCACCTTTCTTTGGAATGGGTACAAATATGGATCTCTTTAGTCAGTTGGCCAGGTAGCTGTTTTCCAAATCTCTTGGCATAACTGAGTGAGTGCCTCCACTGGGGCATCCGTTTGTTGAAATATCTCAGTGGGTATTCCGTCAATTCCTGGAGCCTTGTTCTTAAAGCCAATTTCTTCATTGCAGCTTTGACTTCCTCCTTCAAAATCATTGGTTCTTGATCATATGCCACTTCCTGAAATGGATGAAGGTTGACCAGTTCTTTTTGGTACAGTGATTCTGTGGATTTCTTCTGTCTTCTTTTGATGCCTCCAGCATCATTCAATATTTTGCCCATAGAATCTTTCAATATTGCAACTTGAGGCTTAAATTTTTTCCTCTATTCTTTCAGCTTGAGAAATGCCAAGCATGTTCTTCCCTTTTGGTTTTCAAACTCCAGGTCTTTGCACATTTCATTATAGTAGTTGGCTTTGTCTGCTCAAGCTGCTCTTTGAAATCTTCGGTTCAGCTCTTTGATCTTGTCATTTCTTCCATTTGCTTTAGCTACTCTCCGCTCAGGGAGCTCTGGTAGCATAGTGGCTAAGGCACTTGACTGCTAACCAGTAGGATGGCGGTTCAAACCCACCAGCCACTCCTCGGAAGGAAGGTTGGGCAATCCTACTTCCGTAGTGATACTGTCTTGGAAACCCAAGGAGGGGTCGCTATGAGTCGGGGCCGACTCGACGGCAAATAACAACAACAACAGCACTCTCCGCTCAAGGGCAAGTTTCAGAGTCTCTTCTGTCATCCATTTTGGCCTTCTCTTCTTTTCTAATCTTTTTAATGACCTCTTGCATTATTTGTGGATTATGTTCTTGATGTCATCCCATAATTCTTCTCTTTTTCAGTCACTGGTGTTCAGTGCATCGAATCTGTTCTTTAGATGGTCTGTAAATTCAGGAGGGATGCATTCCAGGTCATATTTTGGCTCTTGTGGATTTGTTTTAATTGTCTTCAGGTTGAATTTGCATATGAGCAGTTGATGGTCAGTTCCACAATCAGCTCCTGGCCTTGTTTTGGCTGAAGATATTGAGCTTTTCCATCATCTCTTTCCACAGATGTAGTCAATCTGATTCCTGTGTGTTCCATCTGGTGAAGTTCACATGTACAGCTCCCATTTGTGTTGTTGAAAAAAAGTATTTGTAATGAATAAGTCGTTGGTCTTGCAAAATTCTACCATGCGATTTCCAGCATTATTTCTGTCACCAAGGCCAAATTTTCCAACTACTGGTGATTCTTCTTTGTTTCCAACTTTTGCATTCCAGTCACCAGTGATAATTAACACATCCTGATTTCATGTTCGGTCAATTTCAGACTGCAGAAGTTGATAAAAATCTTTAATTTCCTCAACTTTGGCTTTGGTGGTTGGTGCATAAATTTGAATAATAGTCATATTAATGGGTCTCTCTTGTAGGCATATATACATTAACCTATCACTGACAACATTGTACTTCAGGACAGATCTTGAAACATCCTTTGTGATGATGAATGCCACGCCATTCCTCTTCAACTGCCATTCTCAGCATAGGAGACCATATGGTTGTCTGATTCAAAATGGCCAAAACCAGTCCATTCAGCTCACTAGTGCCTAGGATATCAATCTTTATGCATTACATTTCATTTAAATAACTTCCAGTTTTCTAGATTCATACTTCATACATTCCATGTTCCAATTATTAATGGATGTTTGCATCTATTTCTGCTCATTTTGAGTCATGCCACATTAGCCAGTGGATGTCCTGAAAGCTTTACCCTATCCATATTGTTAACGTTGTCTCTACTCTGAGGAATCAGCTCTTCTCCAGTCAAATTTTGAGTGCCTTCTGACCTGATGGGCTCATCATCTGGCATTATATTGGACAATGTTTCAGGGCTATTCATAAAGTTTTCCAGTAATATATCAGACAGTGTTTCACTGCTATTCATATCATTTTCACTGGCCAATTCTTTGAGAAGTGAATGGCCCCTTCCTTCTTCCAAGTCTGTCTTAGCCCGGAAGTTCTGCTGAAACCTGTCCACAATGGGTAACCCTGCTGGCATTTTTCAACATGGTGGCATAGCCTCCAGCCTCACAGCAACATGTTAGCCACCACAGGATGACAAACTGACAGACAAGTTTGCCTCCCTTAGTTGTTTTTAACTCCTCTGCACCTGCCTACCTGGGGCAATGGCCTTAAAATAGAACCACCCCCAAGCGAAAAGCAGCCCCTCAGCCCTGGCCTGCCTACATGAGGCCCTGGCCTTAATAAAGAAGCACCCCTAAGTGAAAATCAGCTCCTGAGTCCCAGCCCACCTACTTTGGGCCTTGGCCTTAAAATACAGCTGCCCCCAAGTGAAAGGCAGTCCCCAAGCCCCAGGCCCATCTACCTCGGGCCCTGGTCTTAATAAAGAGCCACCCCCCAAGCAAAAATCTGCCCTCAGACCCAAGCCCACCTACCTCAGGCCCCAGCCTTAATAAAGAGCTATGCCCACGTGTAAAGCAGCCCCCAAGTCCTGGGCCCATCTATCTCGGGCCCTGGCCTTAATAAAGAGCTGCGCCCAAGCATAAAGTAGCCCCCAAGCCCTGGGCTCACCTACCTCAGGCCCTGGCCTTAATACAGAGCCACCCCCAAGCAAAAAGAGCCCTTACCACAGGCCCAACATTTGTGAGGACTGGATTATTTCTAGCTTACCCTTCTCCTTGGGTGTAACCCCTTATGATTCCAACCAGAGTTATAGTACTTAATAAGGCTGCCTGATACCTAATTTTTGTCTCCCTAAATTTGTGATAGTATGAAAACCTCTCCTCAGATGTTCTTGAATATATAGATGTATCTAGTGGAAAAAATGCCTCAATGTCTTCTTGTCCGTAGGTTTTTTTCTCTTAAATCTTGGTGCTGAACTTCTTCACTGTATTATTGCAAGTAGATTAAACCATTTAATGTAGTTTTTCTGGGTATTGTCAGTAATAGAGTTCATTTCTGTTACCTGTTACTTAATTCTGATAAGCAGATCTGCTTTTAGAAAAATAGAATGTATGGCAAAAACAACAATAATATATATTACTGTTAAAGGTTTGTTTCCATTTTTCATTTTCACTGTCGTTCCTAGATCAGGTACAGCAGGACAGAACTTCTGGAACATATCCCATCCTGAACTCATTTTCACTTTCAGTGGCATAAAGCATCTCAGTCTCACTCCCCACATGCCTTAGATTTTACCTTGCTGACGTGAATGTTCTTGTGTCTCAAGTCTGTGTTCTTTCCAGGGATGGAAGTATGGATTTGTGTTCATCAATGGGTGTAACCTTGGGCGATATTGGCATATTGGACCTCAGGAAACACTTTACCTTCCTGGGTCCTGGCTTCATCCAGAAGACAATGAGGTGAGTTTCCCCCACCTTTGCATTGATATCTCACTTCCAGAGTATAAATCACAGTATGCTTCCCATCTTGTACTGAATGGGCTTCCTCTTTCTTACTGTCAGCCTTTCTTTTCTTTCCAGATGATCCTATTTGAGAAAATGATGAGTGGCTCGGATATCCAATCCATGGATAAGCCCAAGCTATAAGACCAGATTTTACCACATTTCTTGGATGGTTAGTGTTCATCTATAAGTAGTTTTTCCCAGAAGAAGAGTTACATCAAGAACATTAAACACGGTGTTTCTTACAATAGCAGAAATGTGAAAATAATAATAAAAAAAATTCAACATTAGAGGAATTATTGTATAAATTATAGTGTATACATATGATTGCTATTTTTAGACCTTAAAAAGTCTTCAAAATCTTTCATGACTTTAATGTTTCTCTCTAGGTAAAGGCTAACTTCTTAGCAGGTTCTTATTTTGTAATCAAATGTGATTTTAAGTAGATATGAATAAAACAAAACAAACTTTATTTCTACCTCCCCACAATCAGTTGCAAGGGGGCAAAGGATCTCTAGCCCAGTGGATAAGAATTACCACTCTTTTCATCCCAGATATTATTGCACATGGTGACTACTCACTTTGCTGTGTGTATGCTTACACACAGTGTAAGGAGGTTCAGGGGGACAAACAGTGTCTCTAGGTTGCTCTGCAGCATCTGTGTCACTAACCATCTACTCTACCAAGTATAATGTCCTTTTCTAGGGGCTGGTCCCTCCTGATAACATGTCCAAAGTACTAGAGGTAAAGTCTTTGCCATCTTTGCTTCTGAGGTGCATCCCAGCTGTACTTCCTCCAAGACAGATCTGTTCATTCTTCTAGTAGTCCGTGGTGCATTCCTTAGTTGATGGATATTTGAGTTGCTTCCACTTTCATGCTGCTATGAACATTTGTATACAAGTTTTTGTATCAATATTAAAAAAAAAATTTGTGATTTGGGTGCAATTTTACAAACCTGATTAGTTTTACACTCAACAGTTCATACTCATTTTGTTTCCTGACACTGATTACAATCCCCACAATTTATCAGCTCTCCTCCACCCCCTCTCTGTGGTTACTCCTTCCCTGTGTCCTTCTTACCTATGCATTCCTGCCTACCTAGCTTTTTCCCTGTGCAAATGCTGCCCTTCCAATCTTCCACAGTTTACTGTTCTAAGGAGTGCATCTCCCTGGTATAGTTGTTCAGCTTATAAACCAAAAAAAAAACCCAAACTCACTGCCGTGGAGTTGGATCTGACTCATAGTGACCCCTCCTTGGGTTTTGGAAGCAGTATCACTACAGAAGTAGATTGCCCAACCTTCCTTGTGAGGAGTGGCTGGTGGGTTTGAATCACCAGTCTTCAGGTTAGCAGTCAAATGCCTTAGGCACCACACCACCAGAGCACCTTGTTCAGCTCATAGGCCTGTCTGTTGTTTGCCTGAGAGCTAATCCATGAGAGTGAGTCCTATTCCAGACCCGAAGGGTAACCCAGGGCTATAGTCTTGGAGGTTTCACCAGTCTTTATCTGACCAGTAATACTGGTCTTTCTTTTCTTTTTTTTTTTTTTTTTAATGTTTTTGAGTTATGTTCCACATTTTTATCCCAGTCTTTCCAGGATCTTAAATTTTGATCCCTTCCCACCAGGTTTACTGGTCTGAAAGGGCCTGGTGAGATGCCCGAGACTATGACCCTTAGTTATCCACCAGGTCTGGAACTGAACTAACTTCTGTGGCTTCCGGCAAAACAATAGACAGGCATATGGGGTAAATATTTACATCGGATAGCTACACTTCTTGGAGTGATCAATTGTGGGAGAAGAGAAGGGGAGTGTTTACAGAGGGAGATAGCTGGGGGGGGGGGCATGAGTGCACAGGAGGGAAGGACAAGGGAAGAGTTAACTATGAGGAGGAAAGGGGAAGAGAGCTGTTACATTGTGGGGAATTGCAGTCAATGTCATGAAACAAAATGTGTATAAAATGCTGTATGGAAAATTATTTTGCTCTGTAAACTTTCACAATAAAATCACAATAAAATTTAAAAAAAGAGAGAGAGAGAGATCCCTTTCTGACTGGTTGACATTGGTTGCCAGGCATCATCTAGTTCTGGTCTCAGGATCGTGTAGGGTGAGATTCCTATGGTCCATTAGTCTCTCGGACTAATTCTTTCCATGCATCTCTGATTTTCTTCACTCTTTTTTGCTCCAGACAAGGAGAGACCAATAGTTGCATCTTAGATGGCTTCTCATCAGCTTTTATGACCCAGTCACTAAGCTCCCACTTATTGAAGTCGGGTGTAGAAAAATGTTTTTGTGTACTCTGTTGTGCTAATTGAGCTTGATGTATGGATATTTTAAAAATTACTCACTTGGATATAAGAGTGAAATTATTGGGTCATATGGTAATTCTATGTTTAACATTCTGAAAAACTACCAGACTGTTTTCCAAAGTGACTGCCCCACCAGCAACCGATAAGGGATCTTTGCCAACATTTGTTTTCTTTTTTAATTATAGCCATCCTAGTAGGTGTGCAATCCTATCTCATTATGGTTTTTATTTACATTTCCATAAGAATTTGTCCTCTTAAACACTGAATCTAGAAATATAACAATGGAGTAATGAAATTAGATTTCTAGGTAACAAAATCATCTCCAAATTCTGATTTGCATCTCAGCTTTCATTGCACACACAGGATAATATTTATCTTTCAGCACATGTCATGTAAGGATAACTTTTCCTCTCAACTCATGTTAATGTGTGTATTTTCTTAGTTTGTTCAAGCAAATAAGTCATTGGTTGCTTGTAAGTCCTCCTATGTTGCTATTATTTGCAAAGTAAGGAGTTTCTTTTGCTAAAGATTTTTTTTCATATATTAACTATTATTCAGTTATTCTTAATATCTTTCACAAAGCATGCCAACATATAAAATATCTTGTATGTCATGGAAATTTTTCTTGGTGGAAGAATGCTTACCTAACTGAAATTTCTTTCTAAACACAGAACTGAAGATTGTGAATGAAACATTATACATCTGTAATTCCTGAATCATCCATAGCCTTAGCCATGTTTGTCCTTTGCCAATGACAATTACATGACACTTTTATTTCCTAATTTTCCATTTTATAAATATTTCTTAGTTTTTTTGCTAGGCTTAGAAATTATGGCAAAAAGTAAAGGATAACTGAAATCTATCATGAATCCACCATATCATACTCCAGACTTTAAGGAAGACTTGTTCGTTTCTCCATGTATAAATATCTGATATACAAGATATGGAGGTGACATATTTAATATCACAAACTGCTTGTGCACAGAAAAATATACTCAGGAAAAATGTTTTTACTAAAATGTCTTGCAAAAGGAATTTTTCTTCTGGAATTCATAACTTGGGCAGATTTGTTTTTTCTTCTTTTTTTTTTTAATTGTGATTTAGATGAAGGTTTACAGAGCAAATTCATTTTACATACAAAATACAACAGTTATTCACATTTTGTTTCATGATATTGACTGAAATCAATCTAACAGCTCTCTTCCTACTTCCTTTCTGTGGTTACGCTTTCCTTGTGTCCTTCTTTCCTATGCATTCCTGCCCTGTGAGCTATTTCCTTGTGCAAATATTGTTCTTCTGGTCTCCCATGGTAGATTGTTCTAAGGAGTGTACCTACCTGGTGTAAATGTTCATCTCTGTGGAATGAGTTCAATTCCAGGCTTGATGGGTGACTAGAGGCTATAGTCTTGGGGGTTTCATCAATAACTAGAAGCCTCTGTTGTTTCTCTGACCTCATCTCCTTCAGCTCTCTTCTAACTCCTCATTCCACAATGACTTTGCAGATCCTTCAGCAGCTGAAAATTACTGAAAATAACATGAAATAGCAGTCAATTTAAAAAAACTTTATTTATCCTCCATGAACTCAAAGCCATAAGAATTTTTCTTCTTAAAATATTGCAAAGTCTGTCCTTTTGAAGTCTGATTAAGTGAGAACAAAATGTGCTTAATTTTTCTCTAACACTTTCATTTTTTTCTTTATGTTTGTTATTCTTTATTCAATCTGTATAGAAAATGGTTTATCATAGATGTTGCTGTACATAATTTTGAAGATTTTCTTCCTAATGAAAGTTTGCAGTAGCAATAATTACCAAATAGGATATTATCCTTAAAAATTTATGGCCTGAGTGAAATTAAATAAAAAAATTCAGTTTACAAATGGTATGTTTAATACTGTCTTAGGCTGAGTTCTCTAGAGAAGCAAAACCAATAAAGCTTATATATATATATATATATATATATATATATATATATATATATATATATACACACACACACACACACACATACATACATACATACATACATACATAAAACCAAACACACTGTCATTGAGTCAATTCCAACTCATAAGGAAGTTGATAGCCCAGTCTTCCTTCCAAGGAGTGGCTGGTGGGTTTGAACTGCCAATCTTGTAGTTAGCAGTCAAATGCCTTAGGCACCACGCCACCAGAGCTCCCCATATATATATATAGATAGAGAAAAAAAATTTATCTTAGGAAAATGGCTCACACCATTACAAAGGCTGGCAAGGCCCAAGTTCTTGGCTCAAATGTCAAGTTGGAGGCTTTTCCTGACTCACACAGCTGCAGGGACACACAGTTGCAAAACCTGGTCTCCCTCCCCTTTTTTTTTTCCAAATGATTTTGAGTTTTGTTCCACATTGTTCTCCCTTTCTATCCAGGATCTACTACATAGATTCCCACCCGAGTGTTGACAGTGGTAGCCTGGCACCATCTAGTTCTTCTGGTCTCATAGTCATACAGGCTGTGGATCGCATGGTGTACCAGTCTCTAGGACTAATTGTTTCCATGAATCATGCTCAAGATTGGAAGGCAGTATAACAGGCTGCTGACTTCAGTGGATGATGAATCTGAGATCAACAGGCAAAATGGTGGGTTGTTGGCTCACAAGACAGTTGTCAGCAGCACAACAGGATCCAGATCCACAGAAGGTTCCTGACCTTTCTCAGAACAACCATATATATATTGGAAGCAGGCCATACCCCTGTGGAAATTCCCTTATATATATTTGACCTCTGTCTCATAGGAACCAGCCTTATGCTAATTTTGTTTTACAACGTTGTCCTTACACATGCCTAGTTTTCATGTCTGATACAGTT